TGACCATCGACGCGTCAGTAATTAGCAGTTGGTCATTAGAGCTTTTAGAGAACAGTCGTGTGTTAGAAAGCAGTTGAACATAAATATTGTTAGGAAATAGTTGAGTTGGACTTGGGGATTAGTTAGGGTATGGTTGAGTTGGACTTGAGGATTAGTTAGGGTATGGTTGAGTTGGGCTATGGGATTAGTTAGGGTATGGTTGAGTTGGACTTGTAGATTAGTTAGGGTATGGTTGAGTTGGACTTGAGGATTAGTTAGGGTATGGTTGAGTTGGACTTGAGGATTAGTTAGGGTATGGTTGAGTTGGACTTGAGGATTAGTTAGGGTATGGTTGAGTTGGACTATGGAATTAGTTAGGGTATGGTTGGGTTGGACTTGTGGATTAGTTAGGGTATGGTTGAGTTGGACTTGTAGATTAGTTAGGGTATGGTTGAGTTGGACTTGAGGATTAGTTAGGGTATGGTTGAGTTGGACTTGTGGATTAGTTAGGGTATGGTTAAGTTGGACTTGAGGATTAGTTAGGGTATGGTTGAGTTGGACTTGAGGATTAGTTAGGGTATGGTTAAGTTGGACTTGTGGATTAGTTAGGGTATGGTTGAGTTGGACTATGGGATTCGTTAGGGTATGGTTGAGTTGGACTTGGGGATTAGTTAGGGTATGGTTGAGTTGGACATGGGGATTAGTTAGGGTAAGGTTGAGTTGAACTTGGGGATTAGTTAGGGTATGGTTGAGATAGTAGAAGTAGTGTGTAGTACAGTAAAGTTAGGGGCTAGGACTTGATCTGTGTAACGAAACGAACTCTAATATTAAATCTGTGCATTGGACTTGTGTTAGTTATTAAGTTATTATTAATTCCACAAAAAACTTTTGTCAGGCTTAGCAGAAGGGTAGATAAATTTACCACATTTTTAGTATAGATTACGGCGTACGGTATATTATACCCCCCCCCCCCCCCCCCGCACCGCCCCCTCAGACTACAACACGTGACATTAACAAGGCGAATGTTGTCTGTAACACTGGACATTAAATATAAAACGTGCTCGATATGGTTGACTGATTTAAGGATTCAGTATGTTAGGGCGCACTGACCTAATGGGTCATTGTGGTATTGCCAACACAAACAATGCAATTTTTTGTTTTAATATTTTTAAAAAAATAGCACACGTTTTCTAATTAGTGAAGTGTATTACACGCTTCGTACACTGACGAAATGTGTTACATCAAGAAAGAAAAAAAACTGAAACAGATTCTATCACTAACACGTTTGTCTAAAAGTTAATAATGTATAGTACATACAAATATTAAAAAACTATGGGCTTATCCTAGTTCAAAAAAAAATATCAACTACATATAAAAATATGTATTTAAATTTTATAAAGAAGTCTTAGTCTAAATATAATCACCACATTATGGCTTATAAGAAGCTGATAAAAGGATTTTTTAAAGTAATATAAAGTAATATATGAGATAATCACTAACGCTTATACTACCTTTTTTTATAGGTCACAGTGTCCGGATATTTCACGGCTGGTAGAGAGGTTTGTGGTCAAACGTTGCAACTCATCATTTCCACAAATCTAATGCAACAATGTACTTCTAATTGCCTAAAAACCTTCTTTAGAAATGACAAATTAGAAACAAATAATACAACTAACATTAAAGGTAACCGTTAACGCCATTTAAATAATTAAATTTAATATATAAAAATAGCAATCCATTGGGCAGATGAAGTAGAGTTCATATGTTTATTGACCTCGGTATATACCTCGCCTTTACTTTCCCTAACATGAGTGAGGTACCCATCAGAGCTGGTAGATTCAAATACGTTATCCTGACATGAAAACGGATTAGAACGCGAGACTTTAGGCGCTCTACCGTTTAGGCCACGCTGTCCCACTTATATAGGGTACTAAAAAGAATAATTGTAAAGCATAACTATTTGTTTGGCTATCTTTCTCTCTAACTCTCCCGATCTCTCTATCCTTCTATATTACTCATTTGCCTCTCTTTTTTTATCTCTGTTAAATATTCTACGTCTCACTCTCCCTCTCTTTCTCTTTCTCTCTATATTCATGTCTATGTTGTCCGTTTCTTTTTCTCTATATGTATTATTATGTTTCTCTCTCTCTGAGGATACAAATTCCTAATCCTATAAACAAGAATATCAGTATACAATCAAGGCAGTACCACAAATACCAGTATACAATCCAAGCAGATTCACAAACATTAGTATGCAATCCAACCTTAAATTTAAAAAGTACACAATCCAGATAATACCACAACAGTAAACAATCCGAACAGCACTGAAACACTAGTACACGCTCCCAAACAGTTTATAGGAACAGACGAATCGTGCACAATGACGTTAATCCTAGTGTCACCCCAACCCCTTACGTCATGTACTCACCAAACCCACGAGACCACTGACTTAAATGTCAATGTCATCTAGTTGACAATGCGTTGAATATGACGCACGTGCTGTCTGGGTGACCACTCACAGCTCTACCACTGGTGTTTACACATAACCACAAACTAATTAGTTAAATCGTTTGTGGTCTCACGTTGATTATACAATAATAAATAGAATATCTCCATTCTTTCCATATTTATATACTCTGTTAACACGTATACAAACTTGATATTATGAACAACTATTATGGTTTTCTATTTAATAAAACAAATTGTATAAAACTTGTAGATTCCATATCGATGTTGAAATAAGTCTTCGTGTTAACATGTGCACTAGAAACTGTGTCAGTTTTAAGTGAAGTTCCCTTTTCTAACCTGAAGGTACCTGGTCCATGAGGTAAGTGAAGCAACCTCGGCGTATGGAGGGATAGTGATGTCTACTTTTAGCCAAGCCGCCTTTTTTTTCCCAAACATGGGTAATGTACCCATCATAACTTTTTGGTTAGCAGTCTAGCGCTCTACCGCTAGGCCACGCCGCCCCATACCATGACACTTACACCAGTATTTTTTTGTAATTAAAGAAGCGTTACGGTCTATGGCGCAGGTGGCTGCTAGCTGCCTCTAGTTGCCCTAACAAAAAGTGAGGTACGCATCATAAATAGTTGATTGGACGTCGTACCAAATACGGCATCACTCGACACGACCGTTAATGGATTTAAAATAATCTAGTGAGATAAATATAAAAAAAAAAAGAAATAATGACCACTGGAGAAAGTTAAATGTGTCTAAAGGAAGTGTGTAAGGAGTGGCGGGGGGGGGGGGGGTATACCATGCGTATAATGTATTTGTCTATCGTCACCTCTGTCTTGTCCTGTCGTAACGTGTCACTTTACTTGTTATTCTAATACATCACCCAAGTTGTAAATGTAAGGGAACAGATCAATGTTATTCATCGAAACGTAGTTGGTGAATGGTTATCTCCGCTGCCTCAAGCTCTAAGACATTACAGAAGCTGTTAGGGACATATAACCTAAAACATTTTTATATCAGATAATAGGCCTACATATTTTAAGCTTGGGTTAGTGATGTGAACTTTAACATATTTTTTTAATCTGATTGTAGTCAAGTGAAATGTGAGAAGGTGTGTATGTTGAGACAGGAAATGTGTGTACTGTAGCGTGACCGAATGTCGTCCTTGTATGTCAAGGTCGTGTGAAGTGAACGAATGTAACAAGGGAAGCAACAGGTCCTATGACAGTGGAAGGGATGTGGAGCATTATACTATATAAATAAATAAATAAACATATATGTATGTATGTATGTATATATATACATATATATATATATATATATATATATATATATATATATATTGAGTGTGTGTGTGTTAGAGAGAGAGAGAGACAGAGAAAGATAGCGACTTTATTATTAATATATTGCCGTTGATTCTTGTAGATGAAGTGACTTAACTAGTTGTTGAAATTACTTTTCATTTATCATTTATTTATTTCATTATAATAATGTTGATTATCTTTAGAATGAGTAGATAATAGCCTAGGGTCTAGGCCAAGGTTATTATTTGTAATTATATAACTAAAGGCTTATGCCCAGGTTACTATTTGTGAATAAGTTAACTAGGGTACTAGACCCATTTTACTGTTTGTTTATAAGGAAACTAGGGTACTAGACCCACATAACCATATAGAAGTTAATTATTTAAACGACTACTATTCCCCCCCCCATACGCATTTATCAATACTTAGCCTAAATTAGTGTAGCAGAGTTATTTTTAAACATCTATTGATGTGTTACATTTTAGTTTTTTTTTTTTGTTTCATTTAAATTTAATATTACTACTTCTTCTTCGTTCTTAAATGGGATGGTATTGGACATGTACTGTGGTCTATTGAAACGATATGTCCTTGCGGAACATAGGGCCTCTGCCAAAGATTTTCCACTACCTACGGTCTTCTAGAACTCTCTTCAGCATTTTCAAATTTCTTCCCATCTCTCAGCCTCCTTGTACTTGGCTATTTCCCAAGTCTTCCTTTGTCGACCCATGGAATAGGATATGTATAGCGGTCCAAGGAAATGTGCTGATGTTGGGCACGTAAGTCCAAAACCAACTGGTAGCCATCTTATGTTTTAAAACCAGTTCAAATATTTGAATAAATCAGACGAAAGTAAGAAAGTTATTTTTTTTTATTAAAACATAAACAATTTCGCAAAAATGTTTATTACATATTTACAACACAAAATATGTCATTTAATGAAATAATAACCATTCAGACTAAGGAGATCTGGTCAAGAAAATATATAACAAAACATGGGACATACAGACACATCAAAACATGCACACAAAACATTATTCGTAACGTATACACACTACATAACATGTTGGACCACACACACACACACACACACACACACAACAAAACATGACACATACAACTATAACACGGCATTTTTTTAAAAAATATTTTAAACTTTATTTTTTCCTCTGATAAAAATTTCAATATTCTAAAGATTTTCTTTTATACAAATTTCAATATTCTAGAGATTTCCTCTGACACAACAATTTTTCTAGAGATTTCATCTGACACAAATTTCATTATTCTAGAGATTTCCTCTGATACAGATTTCAAAATTTCCTCTGATATTCAATGACGATGGCTGGCATAACTTGACTGGAATCGAAGACAATAAATTCTCTAAAAAGACCTTTACCTTTGGGTGGGTCATACAACAACGAATCGTACTTGTTTTTGTCGATCTCTAGAAAATAACCAAAAGATTGGATTGTCTGGGGCTACATAATACAAAATATTATTTAGGCCTAGGGTCACATACTAACTATATTAGTTAAGACAAGGTTTTTAATAAACTAGAGGACCAGTGTTAAGAGCATAGTTAATTGTATAGGTTAGGGTTATGTTTACATAGTAATCTCCAATGTTTAGAGTTACATAATAAACTCTACCTGAGCTGTGTATCCTTTCATTTGTGACGTAGACACGGCCTAATGTCACTCGACAGATCAACATGTACAGACACGTTCCTAGAGGACTCCGAGTGTCTTTGTTATCTGCTCAAGAATGTTAGTCCATCATGCAAAGTATTTTTTTTTCGAAATATTAAATATACCATTTTTGGTTAATAGATTATTTCAAAAATAGGAATGTTAGGTTTTTAGTGTTATTGTAATTTCGGCTAGTTTTATTGTTAGAAATTAGGGTTAGGCGTATGGTTGGACAAAAGTTGATGTTAGGGCTAGAGATAGGGTTAGCGTTGACATTAGCAAGCCATATGTATATTTTAGATAACCTAACACCCTATGTAAGAAGATTCTATGGTCAGACACAGGTATTCCCCCCACAGTTTTTTTCAAATAAACAATCTGTTCGCATATACATCACAAACATTCTAAAAGTGCTGAGATGTATCGAATAAAACAATGTTGTCTAGACATCAATATCATTGATGGCTTTTTCAATCATCTTTAATAAAAAAGAAATAGTGTTCATTTTTGTTTGTTTTATGAAATATCGGTATATGTACTTAAGTAAAAAACAGTTCTTTTCCCACCTAGTTGTGCTAAGGTTACTAAAAATAAACAACTATGAGATACCTGTGTATTGGTCAGCTTTGGTCGAAGATTCAGCAAAGTAAAGACCATATCCAAATAAGCCATTTCTAGATTTGGACACTTGCAGTCCCTCGGACAGGATGTTAGAGATATTTCCGCTTTTGGTGCCATGTAGTAGTAAAAACTCATTCACCTCAGTACAAGTGTGTAGAGTACTAAGACCATCACGTGACTCAACTTCACGAGAACAGTTAGGTAATTGACTTACAGGTACACAGTTACCCAGTTGACGTATTGTTTCTCTTTTAGTGTTGTAAGTTTCCAGTAGCCTAGCATTGACCACATGTTTGGCTGAAACTATGTGAATATTTACTTGACTCAAAAGGTTTTTAGCATCTCGTCCTATCCCAACAAGTCGCTTATCCCAAGTGGTTGTAATATATCGATCGATTGATTCTAACATCGTTGTATCGACGGGAATCGCATACACTGATGATACGGGACTGCTAGTTTTATTTATAGGAACGCTTTTATTCATGAAAGCAATGGTATATACTAAGACTAAAGCACATACTAAAATCGCTGGCCAATAGGGGATGACAAAACAATCAACGACATATTGAAAGTATTCGATAAATCCAGGGTAAATCCATTGGGATAGATCAATTAGAATTACCCAACAAGTAGAAATCCAATTATCGATACCAACCAACAGAATTGTAAAAAACACAAGTGTAGATTGTATAATAGATAATAACATATAAACTACACAATCATACACCAACCGAAGTATAACTGGAACACTTTCTAGACAATACACCACACAATCATACACCAACCGAAGCATAACTGGAACACTTTGTAGACAATACACCCCACAATTATACAGCGTTAGAGCTATTACATATAATAGTTTTAAGACATAAACCCCACAATCATACAATAACAGAAGTATAACTGGCACACATTGTAGACAATTCATCGCACAATCATGTAACATAAGAGATATTAAACATAATAGTTTTATGACATAAACCCCACAATCATACAATAGCAGAAGAATAAATGGCACACTTTGTAGATAATACATCCCACAATCATATAACATTAGAGCTATTAAACATACTAACTTTAAGACATAAACCCCACAATCATACAATAACAGAAGTATAACTGGCACACATTGTAGACAATACACCCCACAATCATATAGAATTAGAGCAATAACACATAACAACTGTGAGACATACACCCCACAATCATACACTAATAGAAATATAACTGGCACATATTGTAGGCAATACACCACACAATCATACAACAAGTATGTTACAGCACACAAAAATCGTACGACATATGCCCCATAATAATGCACTAACAGAAGTGTACATGTCATCAGTTGTAGACAATTCACTACACAATCATACACTAACAGAAGTATAAATGCCATCATTGGAGACAATACACTACTATCAATTAAAACAAAAGCTAATGCAGGCTAAATTGTTAAACACAACGGCATTACGTCAGATTTTAAAATGAACCTCCATCTTTAGTTTAAGCTATAGTGAAGTATAGGCTACTCATCATTCTTTATTCGATAATATATTGACTTTCCGATATGGCAGAAACTAGGGAAAATCATATAAACTTGATGCAGAAGTCATTTGATAAACGAAATATTTTGCACTATAGCACAATTAATATTTCTCTAAAAGCTTTTGAATTTTTCGGATGAATTTATTATAGAAACAGAATAATTCTTCATAGAAAGATAAATTAAATTGTTTTCCTTGTTGTATTGCTTGCTTTTGTCAAAGTTCTGTTTAACTGTTGATTTCCAATTAGCTAGAACCCTGTAAACAAATTAAGTGTTATTAAAATATTCAAAATTAAATGCTACCGGTAAATCTTATTAAAACCATATTTTAAATTTATGTAAAATAAATAGTAAAGTTTTGAGTAAAGTTCCTTTTCAAGCCTGACAGCACATGGGGCAAATAGAGTTCACCTGTTTCTGTGACTTCAGCATGTGAAGGGACAGCCCTTCAGAGCTTGATGGAATCGGGGATGTTTTTTATTTCTTCATCCCGGATTAGAACTCGAGACTTTCGGGTTAGCAGTATAGCGCGCTACCCCTAAACCACTCCGTCTACAAATAAACATTACTGTAACATGCGTCAACTACTTTAAATTGAAATAAAACTGTAGCAGTGTATAAGTCTCGTTAAAGCTAAGCCTTGAACTAGAGCTTCAAATATATCGATCGATAAACTATTTACTTCTGTTCCGCCAACGAAAGCTAGAGCTAGAGCTTAAGCGATGACAAGAACAGTAACTCGAACAAAAGTTATGAATATAAATATATAAATGGCTATTAGTTTTAAATTGGATTCAAATTATGTATTTCAAAACGGATTATTTTTCTATTTTCAATTTTTTTTTACAACGAGCAATACAGTAATATCTTACCTTGTAGGTTAAACACACGAAGAACACGTAACAGTTATCATGTGCAATCCCTAGCACACACATATTGTTATCAAAAAACGAAACTGAAATTCCCGAAGCTCTCTAAACTGAAATTTAGTTTCTCCACATTGTCTATTTTTAGAACAACCAGCCTTAGATAAAAATGTACACAGTCGTGACCTAGTTTTATTCCCCTAGGAGGAGTTGATTTTTTTTTCTGTTCGTAATGCATTGTACAATATAATAGTTCGGTGTTTGGTTTCTTATCAGTATGCTTACATTGTCAGTTTGTATAGTTTGTTGTTTCAAATAAGATTTAGTTTCTTTGTTGTTGTCAGTTTGTACAGTTTGTTGGTTTTTGTCAGTTTGTACAGTTTGTTCTTGTTAGTTTGTATAATTTGTTGTTTCATATCAGTTTTTCGTTTTTAGCTCTTATGTTTGTATAGATGTGTTTTTGTAAATCTGTTACAAATACATACACACATACTTATAAAAAAAAGCATAAGTATGCTATTACGTACGATAACACTAACAATCACATCAAGACTTGTAAAAGACCACAATAAATGCAGATATATACATAGGTGTACGCATATAGGTATATGTTATTGTGTAATCGACATTAGGTTTGTATGTATAAATGTTTCATGTTGAGTACATTTATTTTGAGTTTTTCATCTAATGTAGAAAACGTAAAAACACTCCATGATCCACATAACATTATTCTGATTTCAAAACCTTATTTTACTCTTTAACAAAGGCGTTTGACTTTAAAGTACATTTATTTTGAAGTTAAATTCATCGTCAGCGACTTGTCATGAATCTGGTATAATCATTTAGATCTACCATCTGTTACTATGAAATCATCTGAGCCGCTGATCTTCACAGGACACTAGAAATCAGAACCAAAAGTCAATAAAATTCACAGCAGGAAAAGTTCCGAGTGAGTGAAGTCTCCTCAAAGTGTTAAATTTATGAAGCAACATGCATCGTGTTGCTTCATGTCGAGGTACCGCTGAGATTTGTAATTGGCCAACTAACACAACCAGTGGATACCCAGGCTATCGACTATAAAATCCAGGGATTTTTAACACAAAATTATGTTTCGCTGACCAGAAGCTTCAACTGTTCAAGCCAATGTTTTAAAGTCATGTTGGCTTACCACAAGGCTCCAACTTTTGGTTGGCTCAAGTCTAGGGGACACTTTGGCTCAAGAGATGGCTCATTGATCTTGGTGGCTCTGCTGTTTATCTTGCCCTGTGTTGCGGCAAGCCCACTTGTAAGTATAGGTTGTCTAACAGGCCCACTTGTAAGTGTAATTTTTCTAGTTAGCAGGCTCACGTGCAAGTGTAACTTGTGTAACAGGCCTACTTGTAAGTGTAACTTGTCTAACAGGCCCACTTGTAAGTGTAATTTGTCTAGTTAACAGGCTCACGTGCAAGTGTAACTTTCTAGTAAACAGGCCCACTTGTAAGTTTAACTTGTCTAACAGGCCCACTTGTAAGTGTAAGTTGTCTAACAGCCCCACGTGTAAGTGTAACTTATCTAACGGGTCCACTTGTTAGTGTAACTTGTCTAACAGGCCCACTTGTAAGTGTAATTTGTCTAGTTAACAGGCCCACGTGTAAGTGTAACTTGTCTAACCGGCCCACTTGTAAGTGTAAGTTGTCAAACAGGCTCACGTGATAGTGTAACTTTCTAGTAAACAGACCCACTTGTAAGTGTAACTTGTCTAACAGGCCCACTTGTAAGTGTAAGTTGTCTAACGGGTCCACTTGTTAGTGTAACTTGTCTAACAGGCACACTAAATGAAAGTTATCTAGTTAAGAGGCCCACTTGTAAGTGTAAGTTGTCTGGTTAAGAGGCCCACTTATAAATGTAATTTGTCAAACAGCCCCACGTGTAAGTGTAATTTGTCTAACGGCCCCACGTGTAAGTGTAACTTATCTAACGGGCCCACTTGTAAGTGTATATTGTCCAGTTAAGAGGCCCACGCGTAAATGTAAGTTGTTTAACAGGCCCTCGTGTAAATGTAACTTGTCTAACAGGCTCATTTGTAAGTGTACCCTCCCTGCCCTACCCCACCCCATTCCATTCCACCACACCTTATCTCACACTACCAACCAACCCAACCCTGCCATACCCTACCCAACCCAACACAACCCTACCTAACCTAACCCAACCCTACCCTACCCTACCCTACCCTACCCTACCTTACCCTACCCTACCCTACCCTACCCTACCCTACCCTACCCTACCCTACCCTACCCTACTCTACCCTACCCTACCCTACCCTACCCTACCCTACCCTACCCTACCCTACCCTATCCTATCCTATCCTATCCTATCCTATCCTATCGTATCCTATCCTATCCTATCCTACCCTACACTACCCTATTCTACCCCAACCTACCCTACACTACCCTATTCTACCCCAACCTACCCTACACTACCCTACCCTACCCTACCCTACCCTACCCTACCCTATCTTACCCTACCCTACCCTACCCTACCCTACCCTACTCTACGCTACCCTACCCTACCCTACCCTACCCTACCCTACCCTACCCTACCCTACCCTAACCTATCCTACCCTAGCCTACCCTACCCTAACCTACCCTACCTTACCCTATCTAACCCTACCCCCCTACCCTAACACAGCCGCATCCCTTAAAGGATGCAAACATCTGGCTGGTACCCATTGATGTAGGGGGTTGTGTAGATGACGGATGATGTAATGTACTGAGGGATGTAGTTGGAGTTTGATTGTGGTTGTGTTATGACCACTTCTCTTTTTTTTTGCTTCGCTTAAGTTTCTTTACAATTGAAATTAAGTGACGTTATTTTGTGACGGTGTGTGACGAGGGGTTCAGATGGTGCGACGTCACACTTTTGCAAAAAAAAAAATGTATTTTCCAAGATTTACAAAAGCGGTTGTTTTATGTATTGTGTGTTGTGTTTTGTTTTGATATTTTCTTACCTCCAAAATGTATATTTCTTATAATAAATATCACCGCCCATGCATAATCAAATGAATTTCGATTTAGTTGTTTTGTACATATATACACATAGTCAAATTTTGAAAATAAAAAAACAGTTTATTGTTTAGCACATTTTAGTATAGCATATTGAATTTCACATCTCGCTGATAAAATTTCCCCAAACAAAATAATTAGAGAAGCAATGTCTACAACCTCTTATATTTTTAGTTCAACTCATTCCGTCATCGTGAGGTGAGACATGCCAGTATTACAAGACATTCCAGACAGGCAGCAGACATCAATTCCGTTATACAGACCATACAAAGCGTTCTAGATAAGGACAACAGTAGTAAGAAAAAACATGTTTAATGATTGTCCTGCAAGTATGATCATGTGTATGTATATTTTATGTCCAGAACGTAGGTATATATGGTGTAAGTCAATGGTACATGTCAAGTTTGTATCCATGTTGTATGTCTAAGGATATAAGCATAACGCCTATTGTGCAGATGTTTGTTTTTAATTAACGGGCTAAAGATATACTACATTGTGCTTCCTAAACACATCAGGTTTTACACAGATGGGTCTAATTAAGAACACATTTATTAACTGGCTTAAGCAATGAAGATAAAGAACACACTTATTCACTAACGTGTTATGATATTAAAGAACATATATTAAATAATGCATTTTATGAAAATAAAGAAAACATTATTATTAAATGACGTATGTCGTGAAGATAACGAAAATACGTATTAAGTGACGTATTTCGTAAAAATAAAGAATGTCTTATTTTAACAGCTGGAATAGCGGCCAGTGAACTCAAAGATCTGGCAGCGAGTGTTGGTGATACTGGAAGGGCGATACTTGGATCAGATGCTTCAGGTAAGTCTATAATCTAGTAGTTAATCCATGAGACTTGATCAAGAAGATAATCCATGATACTTTATAAAGCAGTTAATCCGTGATCGTTTATCAAGCAGTTAATTCAGTAGAATTTATCAAATAGTTAATCCATGATCTTTTATCAAGCAGATAATTCATGATACTTGATCAAGCAGTTAATCCATTAGAATTAAATATCCAATTAATCTATGATCCTTTATCAAACAGTTAATCCATGATACTTGATCAAGAAGATAATCAATGTGACCCATCTCAGCACTTACCAAACGATTATCATCATCACAGATACATTAATTTATCCAGATGGCTGAATTATAACACACTACCGAAAGATTTGAAAACTACATCTACTTATTCAGATATCTCAGAGACAATCAGATGCAATAATGAATGCTATCGAAATAATACAATGTTTTTTAATAATTAATTAATAAGTAATTGTTAATTATTAAAATGAGTTCAATCTCTTCATTAAGTGACCGATGCTGACGTCAGCAGTGTGATCTCAACGCTAATCGGCTCATATAACATTAGCTATGACGACAGCAAATCTAGTAAGTAAATAATTCAATAGGACAAATGACGATAGCAAATATAGTAAGTAAATAATTCAATAGGACAAATGACGATAGCAAATATAGTAAGTAAATAGTTCAATAGGACATACGACGACAGCAAATCTAGTAAGTAGATAGTTCAATAGGACATATGACGACAGCAAATCTAGTAAGTAGATAGTTCAATAGGACATATGACGACAGCAAATCTAGTAAGTAGATAGTTCAATAGGACATATGACGATAGCAAATATAGTATGTAAATATTTAAGTAGGATCTTTGACGATAAAATTTAGAGTAAGTAAATAGTTCAATACGACTTATGAAGATAGCAAAGCTAGTCACTAACTATTTCAATAGAACTTTTGAAAAAAGAAAGCTAGTAAGTAAATATTTTAATAGAACTTTTGAAAAAAAGAAAGCTAGTAAGTAAATATGTCAATAGAACTTTTGAAAAAAGAAAGCTAGTAAGTAAATATTTCAATAGAACTTTTGAAAAAACAAAGCTAGTAAAGTAAATATTTTAATAGAATCTATGACAGGAGCGGAACGCGTGTCCTGACCCGAACGTCTCGAGTTCGAATCCAGGTCCAATTCATGTTTGGTAAAGTAAAGGCTGACCGCACCTTCACTTTTATTTTAGCCGGACCCAAAAAAACATAAGAGCTCTACTTTATATGCCCAATGGATCGCTAGTTCTAAAGAGAACTGTTCATTAAACTTTATGCCAATAACAAGAAAGTAATAAGTAAATATTTCCGTCTCGAGACTATCCAACTTTGTCAACTCACGTATTTAACACAACTTTGATTCTTGTGTTCGTCACTTTGCCTGCTGTTTACAACTGTGCGAACATTGAATTAAATACATTGATTATATACATAAAACTGTTAACTGATACTCACCATGATCTGACTGACAGGTGCGGTAAAGAAATACGGCCATAAACTCCAGCAGTACCTCTACATTTGGAGAAGTTTGAGTGACAGGATTACTTTGTTACAAGGTGCATTTTATAGAGTAAACTACAGCTAATATTATCTATTATTTAACTCTCAGATTATGTAACCCACTGCCATAAATAGTATATGTTAATGTAACTTTCTTAATATTTACTTATCAGAGACGTAGCGAACCCCCCCTCAGGGACAAACTTTAAGTTTGTCGTTCCCTAGGGTCGGCGCCCAGCGACATATGTCGCCCCCCCCCCCCCTCTCGCTAAGCCTCTGTTACTTATCTACCATGTAACATATTTTAGTGCTATCCCTTTAACTTTATGGTTATTTCGCAAAAATAATAGCATTACCAACGAAAAGGAAAATAAAAACAACGTAACAACTATCACAAGAAACATTTCGCAAATAGCAGCTGATTTCGGATTATTGTAATAACTTTAAAAAAACATGTGTATAACTACCGTTGACATATTTGTTGTAGTATCTCACCTATTTAAGTTGCATGAATAATGATTTCAAACATTCAATGCACAGAAGTAAAACCGTCTTCACAAATTTGATCCTTTCTCGTTTGAGTACTTTCAAAATGTAAATACACTCAAGGCCCTCTTCTCATACATTATTTTCTCATTCAAGTCATTTCAAATTCACAAACTTAGAAAGCCGACATATAAAATCCTTTGTAGATCACCACTTTTTTCGAAAGTACCAAGAGCCTTTGAGCTTATTACTGGTCATCACAGTAACACTGGTGGTATTAAGACATCTAAATGAATGTTACGTTTCTAGCTTAAGATTCCTTCAATGGCGCCATTGAACTCAACATATTTTAACTCCTCAACGTACTAGCAGCGTCCTACACTTCACAACGCCCAGGCTTAGACCAGTGTTTCTTCCAGACTTTTTTCTCCGGGGGGGGCACTTGAAATTTTCGGGGGGGGGGGGGGGGTGGGGTGGTAAACTTTCTTCGGGGGGGGGGGGCACTGTTAAAAGTATATATTTTCTATATAAATTATATAAATTTCATTTCGTTCGGGGGGGGGGGGGCGGTAAAAAATTTTCGGGGGGGCTTAGCCCCCCCGAAGAGATGCCTGGAAGAAACTCTGGCTTAGACCCTGTAGCCGCCACCCCCTCGTACCTGCACTCGCTAGACGTCAAAGTTACCAATGCTCATGCTTGGACCTTACTTATCCTATCCTATGTACTCTGCAAGCATTACATAATTACACACTTAGTTACTAAATGTTTATCACCCACGTCATCCTCTCCAGACTCATTTATCAATTTCTTTTTTGCATAATTTATTTAAAACTTACTATTCTAATTTAAAGTTTGACCAATTCTTGTCCGCTGTACAGATATTATGTATTAATTTGGCTCTCTCTTAACTATTACTTTTAAACTCTTTCCTTAAGAACGAAGCACCCACTAGTTTTTTCAAAAGACAAATTTCGTGCCAGAGACCTTTCAAATAGCTACATATCTTGATTATCTTTAACTGACTCGAATATTCCGGATTTCGTGACAGAGACCGTTTATCTAGTTACAGACGTGTGTATCTTTAACTGAATCGAATATTCTGGATTTCGTGACAGAGACCTTTTATCTAGTTACAGACGTGTGTATCTTTTATTGAGTCGAATATTCCACATTTTTTACAGGTTCTGGTCAGAACTATAACCTTGAACTTGCTGCTGTTGTGAAAACGTCCAATGATATTCAAGCAGCTCTGGTGCAATCAGGTTCGAACAATTACAGCAACGATGGTAGTCAGGGTAAAGGTCAGGGTTAAGTCACAAAATTACAGCAACATTGGTAGTCAGGGTAAAGGTCAGGGTTAAGTCACAAAATTACAGCAACATTGGTAGTCAGGGTAAAGGTCAGGGTTAAGTCACAAAATTACAGCAACATTGGTAGTCAGGGTAAAGGTCAGGGTTAGGTCACAAAATTATAGAAGCATTAATTATCAGGCTAGAGGTCAGGGTTAGATCAAAAAGTATAGCAACATTAGTAGACAGGCTAAAAATCTGGATTGGGTCTCTCAGTTATTTGTATGACAAAATTGTTTCCAGAAAAATGGCAGCGAGAAAAATTATCGGTCGGAAAATTACATATCTAACCAAATATTTACTAAAACAAATATTAACATATAGGTGTTTTATCAATTTGACCATTAATCTAAAGAGCGTATTATAAGATAAATGTTTTTATAAAATGGGATAGTGTGGTCGGATGGTAGAGGATACGTATTCCAACCCAAAAGGCTAAAGTTTGAAACCCGGGTAAAAGTCAACGTTCCAGAGTGGACACGTTTGGGAAAGTAAAGTGGGCTGGGCATAGTGCTGGCCTAACTATCCCTTCGTATGCCTAGGTCACTTGAACAAACGAACTCTACTTTATTTACCCTATAGGCCGACAAGATCTAAAAGGAACTTTACTTACTTACTATTCTAATAAACTGTACTTTAATAATGCACTTTAATAAACACTTTAAAGAACTATATTGATACATTTTATTTTTATTGTTTTCATATAATAAACATTACTTATAATTTTAATGTTATTTTAATATATTTTTGTTTTCATTTTTTAGTGAATTCTGTGTCGGTGCTGTCTTCAAAGTTTAATAAAACAAGACGGGTAATTGTTTTAATTAATCAGTCTGTATTGATGGCTCTATAAGTAAGAGCTGATTAAATTAACGCTATGGTGTCAATCTCAAAACTATTGCTGACATTATTAGTTCATGTTAAAGGCAAAATCATCAAATCCAGAGGCGTAGCGAGGGCAGGGCGGGGGGGGGGGGGGAGGGTTGGGGTGGGGACCGCACCGGGTGACACTATTTAGGGGGAGGTGACACCAAGGCAAAAAATGCAAAATTTACAGAAATTTTTTTTTGCCAATTCCATTTATGATTAATTAAAGTTGAATGTTAGTTGAATAGTCCATAGTTTATATAGTCTGTTGAATGCATGGCTATTTAAAACCATACGACTACTTATAGGCTAATGTTCAACATACATGTAGAACATTTTACCGATTATTTTGTAAAATTTATGAGTAGGCACTTAACTTTTTATTGAGTGTTGCTGTGTTTTTTTTTAAATTTAATGAGTAAAAGTTATTATTTTTCTTTCAGGCTATTCGACGAAAGCTTTATTCACGACAAGGTTGGTACTAGATTTTCTAAATTATTTTGTTAGTGCTAGAATTTCTAAACGCTAGTCTATGTTATTGATTTGTTAGTGCTAGGCTTTATTAAAGTTAGGTTTTGTTGATTTTAAGCCTCGCTTACGAAACGTCTTTGCTTTTTTACATGATAATATTATTAGGCAATTTCCGATTAATTATATATTTCATTAACTGCTTAAAGCAGGATACTTTTTCGAACTATATTTCACAGATTACGGTTTTAGTGGCTTTGATTTTGGAGGTGGAGGAGATTATGGAGGTGGATTTGATTTTGGAGGTGGAGGAGATTATGGAGGTGGATTTGATTTTGGAGGTGGAGGAGATTATGGAGGTGGATTTGATTTTGGAGGTGGAGGAGATTATGGAGGTGGTGTATCTTATGACGGAGGTTATGATGACAGTACAGGCGACGATTTTGGAGACACAGACAGCAGTTATATTCCTGATTACACGGCAAATGACGGCGGCGACGTAATATACGATGGCCAAAACTTTGACGATGGTGTCGATCAAACTGATGACATTTCTGATCAAACCGATGTCATTGACGATCAAACTGATGACATTTCCGATCAAACCGATGACATTTCCGATCAAACCGATGTCACTGATGATCAAACCGATGATATTTCCGATCAAACCGACATTGACGATCAAACTGATGAAAATGGCGATGAAACCGATGACAACAGCGATCAAACCGATGACATCGGCGATGACACCGACGAAAATGGCGATGAAACGGATGAAAATGGCGATGAAACCGATGACAACGCCGATGACACCGATGAAAATGGTGACACCACAGACGGATATAGTGACTCCACTGGATATGGTGAATCAACTGGGTTTAGTGACACAATTGGGAGCTTCGGAACAACGTTCTCAGGTCCATCTGAAACCTGGTCGGATGTCCCGTCTACACCATCCGGCCCCACCTCGACACCTGGCGCAGGGGACAATAAGTCCAACAGTGGCAAGACGGGTGGAAATGGGGGCGGCAAAAGTGGGGGCGGTAAAATGGGGGGCGGCAAACCAGGCAGTGGAGGAAGGAAACCTAACACGTCGGGCAAAAAGCCACCAGCCAGGTGGAGCGCAGTCAAATCATACAACTACAGTTCTCCTAACGGGGCTTCCATTGCCGTCAGTATGTTTTACCAACAAGGCACCTGGCGGCTAGATGGAGACTACGCCTTTCTACAGTCGAAAGTTCGATAAAACCCTAACGTTTTGACTTCCTGATCTGTTAATAAAATAATTTATTTGCAATTAGAACTTCGTGTTTAAAATTTTATTTTCAAGTTTTTTGTTTAGTCGTAATATGTGTTGGTGGATGGATTTCTTTGCAGCTTTGTGGTCAAATATTTGTTGTAAGAACTTGTTCTGAAAGCGTATGGTTTAACCTCAATCGTATTTGTAGTTGTTCAACATTTCTTGCCATAAGCCTACATGAGAATATTCTGCATTTTACTTTTAAGTACCTTCTCATGGGGTAATACAAATCCAAAGGTAGGGGTCGGCGTCGGTAAAGCTCAAGGTTTCTAAACCGAAAATTCTCGAGTTGAAACCCTCGGTCACATGAGACTCGACAGCTGGGGATAGCAACTCTTTTAGGAGGGACAATCAAATAATGGTTGGACAAGAGCTATGGAAGCGAATCTAAAAAGAAAAGTAGGCTGAAAATGGAGTCAATGGCTTATACGGCGCAAAACCAGTTGACAATTAATACTTAATTGTGTTGTGCAAATTGTTTTTGATTAGTTCTATAAGAGAAATAAACACGTGCACTAATTAAACTACTTGTTAACACGCACAATACAATTCATGTATCAATTAGCCATCTTTCTTTCTTCAAAGAATCTTGCCTTAAGTTTACCGACTCTAATTTTAAAGTCTCCCTTCATGGTGGTTGATCTAATACCTAAAAAAATGACTCAAGGAAATACGAAGAAGGACAGGATTAAACGACATTGTTTCAGACGGACGAATGAGGAGATGGCAATGGCTGGGTCATGTCCTACACATGAACAAAAGAAGACTCCCGAACATAGGACTACAACGGACTTCATCTGGAAAACGAACGAGATGAAGACCAATGGGAACATGGAGGAGAGAGATAGAAGAAGAAGTGCAGTCTACTGGCAAGACCTGGCATGAATTAAAGTGGCTCGCCCAAGACAGAGTGGAATGGCGGATACTTGTTGCTGCCCGGGAGTGACGAGGTGTAAGACGTGTATGAATCGGCATGTTGGAAAACAGCATATGAGATAGAGATTAAATTATAAGTTTTCCAGTGCAAGAATTTAAGACAAACACAGAGAATCGTCTAGTAAACCGCTATAAGTTGCACGGAATAGACAAATCCAGGGCAAAAAAAATTGTCTGTATAAATATATATATATATATATATATATATATATATATATATATATATATATATATATATATATATATATATATATATATATATATATATATATATATATATATATATATATATATATATATATATATATATATATATATATATATATATATATATATATATATATATATAAATATATATATATATATATATATATATGATTGTTAAGTATATCGATTACAATATAAACATTTGAAATGTGGTTCACACCATTTACAGCTAAAAATAATTCACGAAAATAATTAATTTGCCGCTAACCGAACTGTAAGGAAGTCAATCTAAAACTTTGACATTTCAAAATGTTTTTGTATTTCTACTTAAAAAATTTAAATAATTTTTCTAACTCTATGTCATTTTTTCGTATTCATCATTTCAATTAAATAGTAATTAAAAGAACCATTTTTTATATTCTAATAGTAACTAAGAATGTTATCAGCAAGCTATATAAAAAAATTAAATTTTATAGTGAATTTTCAAAAAACTTTCGAACGTTATATATATTTTTTTCATTCTTAGGTATATTGTTTAACAGCTTAGTTTAGTGGTATGCAACCATAGAGACCAAGATAGAGCATCCTGTTTAGCATAGACGCTTTTCGTAAACACAAAACTATCCCTCTCAGACAATTTAAATGAGTTTAGTGGATTACCTATTTGACAGTTAATTGCCCCCCCCCCCCCCCCACGGCCCTCTCATCTTTAACATGTCAACAATTCCCCCCCCCCCAATCCGAACAATATTGAAAAACACAATTTATATAGAAATTACTTTAACCATTTTCCGCTTTCCCGGAAAATTAAGACAGTCTGGAATAAACACAGATTGCTATGCTTGTGACAGCTGTAGTATTTGCTTTTCTTAATTAAACCACTATCATTAATGTACTGACGGATTTTTGGTCTCCTAAATGCGCCTCTCCTCTCTCCCTTACCCAAAGCTTCCGTACCACATTGCTACAAACTATAAACTAGTTTTAGATGTCATCCGTAAATAACGTTACGCTTTTTTGACGATTTTTACGTCACCTTTTCCCATCCGTCACACGTCGTCGCAAAAAGCCACCTCCGCCTCCCTAAAATGACTTCACACCTTAGCGTGCACACCCCCCCCCCCCCCTTCAAAATTGCAATTTAATTTATCTTAAAATATCGATAATGTTCCAAAATCTTGTCAGAATTCTGTCAACATAGAGTATTTTGATCAATTCCTATTACAATTTATTAAAACCTTTTTCTAAAACGCGAAATAAAACTCGTTTTTTTAACATTGGTTTTTATAATGCGAATGTGGGAAGTCACACCATCTAACCCCCCCCCCCCCCCCCCCCACCCTCTCCATTCATCACGCACCGTAATAAAATTACGGATCCCCCTCACCTACGAGTGCGACGTAATTTATGGACGACCCCTAAAAGGGCATGGGCGGGTAATGAATACTACATTAGCCAAAATGCTTATTTCTACACCTAATGCTTTCCTATTTAGCATTTAACTACAACTCAAAGAGACTAGACTAAAGATTTTAAAATAGCCGAAAATTTCATTTCGTTCTCATGTTGATTGCGGCCATAATGGCGGAACTAGAAACAAGGTTCCCTAAAACACACACGCATATATATATATATATATATATATATATATATATATATATATATATATATATATATATATATATATATATATATATATATATATAAAACTTGCTCCACGAAGTTTAAAATAAATCTATTTCCTAAATTGCTAATTTAACCCATTTTATTGCAATGTATATCGATCTCCTTCATGAGAAAACAAACCAGACAAAATTATGTCCCAACTAATTTCGGACCTGAACTATTCGTGTTTAAAAGTGTTATAAAACATCTTTACTTTCTCGTATATACGAAGTATAGAGAAAGTCTTGTAATCGTGCACAAAAATCACATTAAATTTGGACAGTTTTCACCGTTTTACTCCTCAGTCCTTCATCATATCCGGGATGTGGAGGACTTATTTTAATCGGGAAAAATTATAAATTTAGATATATCAAAATTTTTGGCGTTTTACTTGTAATGGAGTCGGAAAAACTGGACTATCTAATTCTGTCCGTATGTCTGTGTGTGTGTGTGTAAACACGATAACTTGAGTACCGTTACAGCTTGGTTGATGAATCTACATATATAAGTATTATACCAAAGTCGTAGATCAGCATTAACTTTTGAGCGATTTCCGATAACCGGAAGTGGAAGTTTTTCTACTTTGAATTTTTCAAAAGCCTATAACTTGAGTACTATTTCAGATAGATAAATGAAATTTGATACGTAAGTAAAAGATCTGATTTTCTGCCTGCTTTAAAATTTTGAGTAATTTCCGTCGAATGGAAGTAGTAATTCACGCTATTTTCTATATTTCTCAAAAAAAAAACGCATGTGAATTTATAAAGTACTAATAATATTCCGCACTATTTTGCACATTTTATACGACGTTCACTTGGCGTGCATTTCTTTTTTCTACGAGATTTTATTCTATTTTAAAAAGTTTAAGTGTTTAAAATGGATTAAAAGTCAAGTCTATATCCCGAGTTGCCATTCCCTGTAGTTTCATATAAGAATATTCGAGAAAGTTTAGGGGAGATCACTTCCGGTTTATTTTTGGATAGCCGGTCAAAGAATTTAGAAACTCAGCTTGCTGTGTGTAATAGTTTCTTGCCTTTATTTTTTATGATTTTTTGTCTTTCTATTATTAATTTTGAATGCATTCCTTGTCATATATATGTCACTAGGCATACTGCCTAGCTTCGCTTAGGTTTTTAAATAACATTTGAGAATTTGAATACTTAATTATTTAGCGATGGATTTGGTGTTGAGTGCTTTAATTTAAACAGTAATGCTAACTTTAGAAAAAAAATGTTTTAGTTTGTCATTTAAATACCGTTCTCAGAGAAACATCGGAAAGTACGCAATTTATAAGTAAAATGGAATTAGAACTACACAGCTTCCATGAACAGTACATCTCATAGTTTTTATTACACTGCCTTTTGAAATTTATTTATTTATTTAATTGGGATACGTAACTAAATTAACAACTTAATTTTGTACTAAAACAAATGCTATACTTCGTCATTTTCTGTTTCTGTTTAAAATAGTATACAATTATTTGAAAAATAATAATTTAAAAAACGTTACCTCCCTTCAAAACTGAACGTATGACGTATGTCTTTTTTTTTTTTTTTTTACAAACAGTTGCTATGCTTATATAAGAAATTACGGTATATGAACATATTTAACAACTAAAATGGCTGTTTCCGACGGGATTAAAGTTTTTTTGTTAGCCTCCAGGGTCGGTCTACGACGTCACATAATATTAAGGGGATCGTTCGTCAATTTATTTATATATATATATCTCATATAAGGAGAATTTCACTCAAGATCATCTTTTAGCCCTCGTTGAGGGCTTTGAGTCTGACCAACAGTTTTTCCATACGGCCTAGTCATCTATAGTAGTGTATGCAAAAAATTAGCCAGATATACTGAGCTTAAGTACCCTAAACTCTGCGTTGAAATGACCCTCTGTTTTTCCCATAAAATACAAAGATTATTTAGTGAAATACAACTGGTCAGTTTTGACAGCTTTACAAAGTTTTCCCAGATATGCCGAGCTTTTTGTGACACCCCTAGGTGTTCTTCTACCACCTCACAAAATATCAAGGGGGGTCGTCGGAGGAAAATTTTTTTCGTAATAGAGCTCATATAAAGAGAATTTCACTCGCGGTCACTTTTTAGCCCTCGTCGAGGGCTTTGAGTGTAACCGACAG